CACAGACAACCCCGTGACAATATGCGTTTTGTAACGCTGTTACACAGCACAAAACGCATAAAAAGTGAGCGCATAGTCTTGAAGTTATAGTTATCTGTGTTCAAAGGGCACGACGAAAGCTTGTTTAGCAACACGGTATTTCTCGGAAAACATACGTCTTGTTGTAAAAGTATATACGGTAGCATTTATGCGTAAAATACTTTTGGATAAGTTTCAGGTTTGTTGGAATCATAAAACAGGAGACGGCAGAGTGGGCGTTAAAGACGATCAAGCAAGAGGTAGCCTTGCCTTAGTCGTTCTAGAAAAGCATTATCCTGACGGAACTATTCTTACTTATTGCGGTGATTTGCTTGACTTTAGTTCGCGGATATCAAAGAACTGAAAGGAAATATAGTCGAGGGCGAGTGCGGGTTTTATTACACGCATTTGGCGCATATTCTCTACTCGATCATCAATGACCAGGTGAGCCTATTACACACAGGCAGTGGCATGCCCGCAGTAAACTTTGGCCATATTTTGTGGCTTCAAACTCACATGAGAGTGCAGCAGCAGGCACGAGCATATTCATAACCATCTCGTTTAACCTTGCACCGTTGCTGAACATGACCGAGTTTGCTGTCGCGATTCTCATATGCGTTTGCTGTGCCCTGAGCACACTACAGTCTATCTCGTTGAGTGAATTCATTCAGATGACTCTGGCCCGTGAAATTTCCGATGAAATTGTACCACGTGTGCTGAACGAGTGCTTGCATGAATATATAAGACTAATTTCACACGTGGAAGGCAAGTGACCTTTGTTCGCATTCATTAAAAGGGAGTTCGTTTGCTCAGTTGTTATGATGTGAGAGAAGAGACAGTCAGATGATATGATTCGTCCCACTTATTCTACTTAATGTGTTTAAAGATTCAGTATTTACCTGTTGTAATTACAGATTTCATTATCGAACTGCGAAACAAAGGGCTCGATCAGAGAGAACACACACTGGAATATACCAAAACAATGGTGGTTCAACGTTTCTGAGTGCACACTAAAAAATCACGGCCTCATTTCGCTCGTAGCTCATTATAGTTTTCGAGTTCTTCAGATCTCCATTCTTCCCTTGCGCCTCACGTTATGTGAAATATATTTTGAATTAACTATCCAAGTTGTATCTTTCTGAAATAGCTATTTCACAGATTGCTATGGCGAACAACTTGGATTTGTGCGCCGAATCGACGGAAAAGTTCAAGAAATATATCGAAGGAATGGCAAATGCGGCCGAGGAAGCAACTGTGCTCAACAAAGCTCCACGCCGAAAACGAATCTCGTCTGCTACTGTGGACGCCAGTGCAGCAACTAGGCACAGGTCTAAGCCGATGAACCGTAAAATGCAAGGTTAATGTGCAAAATTCTCGCACAG